TATATATATATATAGTGTGTTTGTGTGTGTGTGTACTTAGTGCCTTCAAAAGTCACAATGTGGTCCAGTGTCTGGGTCCCTCGTTCTTTCCTTGAATGCCTTTGCCAAATGACTGGATGCACCACAAAGTCAAACAGACATCACTGAGCCAGACCTTGGCCAGGACTGATGAGGGAAGTTTTCTCCTAATTTTAGAGAGCAACAAATATTCTGTAACAGATCGAAATGAAATGCTTCCTTTCCATCAGAGAAGCCTGACTCAAGGAGACCGTATACCCTCCCCTCAGAAGCTTCGTTGTGGAGTTGGGTTCCAATCTCCTGTCTGCCACATGCAGATATTTGGGCTACAGCCAGAGGAGAGATACTCCACCCAGCTAGTCTTCTAGCAGTTAGAAGTAAGGCTCTTAGGACCAGGGTTAAATGCTAGACAGATTGCACAGCCATCTCCTTTAACTGTGTCAGTTTAATGGGTCTTAATTTGAGACCAGCCCGCAGCAGCTGAGGACAGAAGGAGGTGCCTCACCTCCACCACCCAGCGGGGTGTCCTGTGAGGGGTTAGGTGCCGCCACTTCAGCACCTGCCGTTGCACTGTTTGTGGGTGTCATGAGTCACAGGAGAGTCGGGTCTACCACCCTGCCCAGAAATAGGAGCATCCTGGAGGTCTCCTCATAGATCATGAAGTGAAATGGCCGGTCCACTTTGACGGTGGGAGGCATGAAGTAAGCAATAATTTCTGACAGGGTTCCTGTCACTGCCTCTGTTCCTTTTTCGTCAACTTCGATCACTGATTGTTGTACAACCTAGGAAAGGGAATAATTGGAAGACCATTTGTGTGGCAGTAGGGATTGAGAAATTAATTGAGAAGTTAATGCTACTCATCTGGCCTTGCTCCTGGAGTTCAGTGGTGCAGGGCCCATCTCTGTGAAGAGTCATGGTTGCTCCGAGGATGTGCCTTAGAATCTAAAACCACCTACAAGACCTTAGGACCCATGTGAAATATAGACTATGCACAGTACATTCTGGGCTTAGGTGCCAGGAACTCTCTGGCAGGGACAGTTATGCATCAAGCATCTAATATTTATTGAACGTGTGCATTGTGCTATGAATTTTTTAAGCTGAGCTGGTGTTTTGAGCTTCCCAGGATGCCTGAGTCCTTTGACCTTTATACTGGAAGGCAGGGTGGGGACAGGGCATGGTTAGTCTTGGGGGCAGCGCCCTGCACCTGGCACTGCTCTGAGGCATTGGCTAGAGCAAGCCAGGGGCCCCTGGTGACTTCTTCAACCCTGGTTGCCAGTACTTGGGTCTCTTGCCTGCTTGGGGCCCTTATGTCCAGGAACCAAATGTCATGTTATTCTAAGAGGAGATGGTGGAAACATCACCATAATAGCACTTGAAAATATTCTACTTTCTTGGGATTAAAAATTTATTCCCAGAGGGAGACTATTTAATAGTTTATAATCTCAAGCTCATGATGATGCATTGTAAAACTGCAACACATTTCTTCAGTTTTCCTCACTTTCACAGCAGAGCCCCAGAGCTGGTCTGCAGAATGGCTGTTTGTCTTTCTTCCCTGTGATGGGAAGGACTGGCCGCGGGCCCTGGTTGGCCTCGTGGTCCTGCTCAAGTGAGCATCACTTTGAATCTGTCTTGGAATTGAAAATCACAGCTGCATAGGGAAATAGACGCCACAGCTGATGGCCACAGAAGGGTGTCGGGAAATGTGGCTGCAGTGTGGCGGTGGGTGGAGGGCTTCCTTGGGCTCTGAGGGCGGGAAGGGGTGAACACAGGCCAGGAGAGCCAACCAGTTTGGCAGTGCCGAGCTTCTGAGGAACATATACGGTCCTCTGAACTGAATGAGAAGCACTTCCTTCGAGAAACCCTGTCGAGCTGGGGGAACTAACCTTGTTCTTGGGAGTTTTTGAGATAGACCAAAAAGAGTCAAAAACATGAGTTAGGGAGAAGTTCCAGGTCAAGATTTTTGTTTTAAATTTCACATTTGCAGATGGGGCTGTTTTTCAAAGAAGAGATGAGCTCCCTGTCATTTAAAGGGTAGGGGTGGGTGGTGAAGGAGGGAGGAAAGGAGGGAGGAGGAAAAGGAGGAGGAGGAGGAGGAAGGGGGGGAGAGAGAGAGAGAGAGAGAGAGAGAGAGAGAGAGAGAGAGAGAGACTGAGAGAGACCAAAGAGACCGAGAGAGACCCAAGCATCCCCAAGAGGTAGGAAGAGGTAGGAGGTTAGGTTGTGGGTTCTGGAGATACAAGTTTTCGCAGTATAGTATTGATGATGATAAGGCTGTAAACCACTCCAATTCCAGCATTAGGGAAAGGCTTAAGGAGAGTAATCAATTAAAAAGGTATTTTAATAATGTGATTTGAAGTCTTTAAGACATCCAACTCAGGTGCTATTGCAAGTCTCTGAAATTTACATCTATTTCCCTAGGCATTTGTTTAAAACTAGCTGCTGGCATGCCCTGCTTAGGACTGGGCACTGGTGAAGACCCGACTTGCCTTGGACACCTGCAGATTCCTTGGAGTAGCTGACAGTCCACCGAGGTCGGCCAAGGGTGAGAAGATTCTCCTGACTCCCATCTGCTTCAGCAGCTCATGCATCTCATACTTCTGGTCCAGCTTGAACTTCGGAAAGAAAACCTCCATTTTCCTGCGGAACAGACACAGATAATGATGCGACGTGGACGAAGCCACTGCTTCTGGATGCCAAGAAGGACACATTTGCTTTTCCCCTTTTCCCTTACTCCAAGATTGCTTCCAAAGCTATTTTAACAAGTCTCCCTCAGTAGACTGTGCCTCCCTCGCACCTTTCTTTCATACGGGTCTGTCTCAGAAAAAATACTTCTGGCTTAGCTGGTGTCACCGCCAGCTCCCGTGAACCAGTCTCGCTCCTCAGCTGAGGCCTGCACTCTGTTTAGTCCCTCACACCTTACTTTGTGTCCATTTCTCTGTTTTCAAAACAACATGACCCAACTCAGTAGCTGCTTCCTGCATCCTGCAGAATGCTGAGGTGACTGTTCTGTACCCCGAGATCCCACTGAGCCCCAGTATCCCAGGAAAAGCCTAGGAATCTGGGTATGGGCAGGTGACTGCTGCAAAGAGAACACTCAACACACTCTGCTACCCAGAGCAACTATCATCTATATTGGAGTCCACCTTTGAAAATAAGATGGTTGGAAAGAGGAGCCTGGTGGCTCAAAAATAAAAACCATGAAAAGCAATTGATACTAAATGTTCAAGAAGCCATAATTTCTTATTCTATGAAATGTGGCCAAAAATATCAATATTGATTTTACAGGGTGATTCAGAAGAACAATATATGCTGAGCACCCAGAACTGTCTGTGGTGTGTCTGGGGCCTTAATGAAGACAAATTCCTGCTTCCTCCAGGCATCCTGCTTCATTTTCTCTCTGTCACATACTTGGGCCAGGCACTCAGCCTGGAATATAACAGAGGGCGTCGCACATCCTAAAGCTTAATTTATAAATTCATACAGCTAATATTTCTTTGGGGTTTTTAATGTTTGAGACCCCTTACTAGGTACTAAAGATTTCAAGAAAAATGAGAGAGGAATACAAAGAGAACACTAACAACAGGGACCCTTAGCCAAACCCAACTCTGCTAAATTCCAGGCTAACAGGATTCGGGACGCACAGCCACGGATTCTGCTCGTAGCTATGTTCTGTGTCCTCCAACAGTTGGGCTGATGTCCTAGAGGACTGTGAGCTCCCGCCCTGTGTTTCCCACTCTCGTGTGCAGGACCCCTCCCCAGATGACCGATTGGCCATCCCGCCCCAGATTTCGTCCCCAGCCTGGGCTCATCCTGGTGTCCAGGTCCAGCTGCCTTCTTGCCATCTCCATTTGGATGTCTGATAGCTCTTCTGGTCCAGATGTTCAGGCTGAACTCTTACTGCCTTTCCCCCCAGACCCCTTCCCCTTCTTTCCCCACTATAGTAAATGACGCATCTGCCCTTCCAAATGCTAAGGCCCAAAGTTGTACAGGCACCAGTGGCTTTGTCGCTGTGTCTCTCCCTGTATGTGTGTGACTTGCTCTGTATCTCTCTCCCTGCCCCTGTCTCTCTCGCTCGCTCTCTGCCTTCCTCTGTCTCCTCCACCCATTAAATTTCTGGCATCTCTCACCTCCTAGTCATTCAGGATCCCACCTCCGCTGCACCATTACGGTGCCAGCTGCAGCCTGCCCACCTGGATCACCACAGCGGCCTCCACGTGACCGTATTGCAGTGATGTCCTCCTTGTCCCCTAGGATCTTTTCTCGACCCAAGAACTCATGTGATTCTTTAGCCAGATCGTGTCTCACCTGAGCTTGGAACCCTCTGGTGGCTTCTCATCTCATTTGGGCAAAGCTCAGGGTTTTTCTGGGGCTTGTGGGGGGAGGTTCTGGGTGCCTGGGCCCCTGCTCCTTTATGACTTACCTCCACACATTACAGCCATGCTGGCCACCGCCGTGTCCCTCAGACCCCTGGCCACTCCAACCTAAAACATTCCCTCTTCTGCCTGCAACACTCCTGTCTCCTGAGACGATCCCACAGTTCAGACATTTGTTTACCGTCACCTAGTTAGTAAGGCTGCCCCTGGCTTGCCTGGACCTTGCTGACATTCTTTCTGGGCTACCGTTACTCTTCCTGCATTACACTGTAAATTCCAGGAGGGCAGGAACTTCACAGGTGAGCTCATGAGTGCTCACTGAGTGAAGGAATGAATGAGCCAGCCATGTGGCAGCTTCCAGGGGAGTAGAAAGCAGCACATGCTGGCCCTGCCTTTGGGGAGCTGAGCACCTCTTGGGGAGCTGGGTGTTGGGCCACCGTGCACTGGGATGGGGGTAGCATTGCAAGCATGCGCACAGCACAGGGAAGTCATACCTGGTTTGCATGTTCCTGAGCCACGTTTCCACCAGGTCTGTGGTCAGGTAGTCTTCCAGGTCGAGGTGGTCCCCCATTTTCTCCATAAGCACCACCAGCATGGCGGCATTTCCTCGGTAGGGCAGTTGAAGAACGTGACAATGAAAATTGCTATCAAAAGTGTAGGCAAACCGTCCCTCTCTGTACATCATGGGCACTTCCACTGCCCTGTACTTGTCCAAGTGGAAAGTGTCAGCTTCGGTGAGGACGGGGTCGAAGGGGGTCAGCCACTTCCCTGAACAAGGAAGAGAATATCCTATGCAGAAGCCAGCCACTTAGAAAGCGTCATTCCTGCTCTAGTCACAAAAGTGGAGAGGGTTGGAACCCCTTTCACCCACACCAGGAAGGTGTTCCCTCACTGAAGTAGCTTGGATTATAGCTCAGCAGGTGGGACACATTCCCTAAAGATCAGCTTTTCTAGGGGCAAGATCCAGGTCCACCCACCAGCCCTAGGGAATCACACAGGAAGCAAGAAGAGGCTTTTTCCAACCCCTGGTCCACTTCTTGTTCTAGACCTGAATAAAACTCCCTCTTCATCTCCTTGCTGGAGGCTCTAGTCTAGAGGACACTTCGGGCCTCTGCCTGGTCTTGTCCGCATGAGGGGCCACTTGCTGCCTCCTTGTCCATCCCACACCCACACATAAGCACAGGTGTCACACCAAGCAGCAGTGTCTCTGGCCCACACACTGCCTTGTGGGGCTCTGACGGCAAGGCCCACAGTGCAGGGGGGATGCAGCATGTCTGTCCTCCAGGGCCTATCCCGGGGTGTGGCCTGGTGACTGCAAGACTGACTCCTGTCTTGGGTCTTTATGGGTTTCCGGGTTCCATCTCTGTACCCCAGTGACAGCTCGACCATGACCTGTACCCAGGATCAGAGTGCCAGGAGGCCTACTTGGACTCTGCCATTGGTTGTGTGACCCTATTAGGTTAACCTCTGCTACCTCCTTGTCATCTCCTTTAGGAAAGTCCCTGCTCTACCTGCTGCATCGGCGGCTGGGAAGGCCAAATAGTTGTGTGTGTGTGTGTATGTGTGTGTGTGTGTATGTGTGTACACATACACGCAGAGTTTTGGATGTGCCATGCACAACTGTGCACTTTACATTCATTATCTTACACACCCTCAGAACTACAGCAGGTGGGAGGGGCTCTATTTCCTGGATGAAGAACCCAAGGACAGATTCTGTCATTTGCTCCAGGTCGTAGAGAATGAAGGAGCAAAAACACAGTCCTCATTCTCTCCAACAAAATGCTGCTCTAGGGAACCATCCTGTGCTGTGCCTTCCCGAGGGCAGAAGAGACCCGGTAGAGTAGTTGTGACACCTGTAAGGACCACAGGCAGTGGGGTTAGGAGGGGAGGGCCTCAAATGACCATCTCACATCGCTCAGGGCCACCTGTGAAATCTGAGAGCATGTTCACCGAAATTCCTTCTGCACAACCACAAGTTGACCAGAGGAGAGGAAAGAAAAGACAGTGACAGGGCCCTTCTTCACCTTTGGGGGAGAGCAGAACGTGATCCAAGTACCTTTGAACAAGATGTAATCCACAAGAATTAATTTTGTTTCAGGGTTGATCCCATCAAAGAGTTTGGGAATTTTTCCCTGAGTCGCTTTGTTAATGTAATAATTCATGAGCCCTCTGGCCTGTGAGGCATTGTGAAAGTTTGTAGGCACACACTCTGTGTCGAAATACCTCTTGGATAAATTGAGGAAGGTCTCATTGACTTGGAAATCCTTGTGGATGAAGGCAAAGCTCCCCTGGGCAAGGCCCAGCTCCACGTTGCTGGAGAGAGTCTGTCTGAGCCGCTTGAAGAGGGTGGGCAGGAGCAGGGGCTGCGTGCCACCCAGTGCCTGCAGCTGGAGGCCGTGCTCCACCTGGGCTCTCGTCTGCCCTTCCGCGCCCAGCATCAGGCCTGCCATGGCCAAGGCCATGCCGAGCGGCGAGAAGACCACGTTGCCATCGTGTGTCATGGAGATCTTTCGCAGCAGGTTGAACCCAAAGTTCGAAGTCGCATTGGAGAGCTGTTGCATGTGGGTCCTCAGCTGCGCCTCCTCCTCATCCTCTTCCTCCTCCTCATCCCTTTCCTTCTTCTCATCATCAGGGGGAGCCGGCGTGGCCCCCCAAGTTTGGCTCAGAGGATCCTCGCGCTCCAAACTCTCTAGATCTGCATGATACTCTGGTGAAAGGGGACCGAGGGCCCAGCTAGGTGCCAGCAGCTCCACCAGGAGGACTGAGAGCAGGAGGCCTGGTGTCACCCTCATGAGACCAGTGTGGAGGCCAAGGACTCCTCCTTTCAGCAGCAAGACTTCCTGTGTAGGAGGAAGGGCAGGGATTGTCTTAGTACCTCATAAAATATCTCCTTTATGCCGTGGCAGACATCAGCCCCCAGGGTCCCACCTCATGTGGGCACAGTCATCTTGCCATTGACCTCAGCCTTGAACAGGGAGACCTGGGCCAGGGGAGTGGCGGGCACATTCACTCACCCCAGGGGAGAACAACCATTCACACGGACCTTCCTCTGCTTCCCATCCTGCCAGGCCCTCGGGAAGCTCAGGGTCTCTGACTCCTTTTCGGATTCATTCAGGTTAGCACCACCTCTTTGTGGACAGCAAGCAGTGAAGGGCGTGGGGAGGGCGGGCACTGAGCAGGGGTGGGGAATGGGGCCGGCTCCCACTGTTGTACTGAGCTTCTTTTGGATTGCCTTTGATCTTTCAGGCATGAGGCTACCCCACACGCTGGACCACAGAGCCTTAGTGTGCGACACACTGGACACCGCTGGAGACAATCAGGCAATGGAAGAGGAGAGCAGCCCACCCCCAATTTCCTGATGAGAGTGCTCCTCCCTGCACTGCCCTGCATACTCCCCCAGGTCTGCCTGACTGCCTTTTGCCGCCACCTGGGAGCCACTGGCTTTCCCACCCAAGCTGCCCACCTGGCAGTGACTCTCCAACCCCGCATCACTTCCAGCTGTCCTCGACACTGCCAGCTGTCTCCACTAGCCTGGCTCTTGGGCTGTGCCATCGGTTCCCAGAGACTGGCTGGCCCGCCATGGGGTTGGTCCCTCCCCTGTGCTCACTCTCTTCCAGACCCCAGGAGGGCCTGGGGCTGGGAGGACTCCCAGGAAATTGGGTGTAGGAGATGCTGCAGGCTCCTGGGGGTTCCCATCATGGAGATGTCATTCTGAGTAGGGACCCAAGGCAAAGGGTGGTGGCAAAGAGAGGCTCCTGTGCTACATCCTCTTCTGGGCCTGGAACAAAACCACACCCAGCCTTGCTTGGCCACTGGTGCCGCAGAATGCAAGGCTCTGTCCTCCCAGTCTGGACGGGACTCCCGTGCTCAGAAGAGCACTTCTGCTGCATTTCCTAAAAGATTCTGATTAGGATGCACCTTGCGATCCTGAGTGGCAATCCTATATCTAGTAGGCCACGGACAGTGTTGGGTAAGCACCTTCCTCTTTCTCCTGTTTCTATAGGATAACTGTCTCTGTTCTTCCAAAATTCTTACATTAAAGACTTAGTTACGTTCTATAGCACTGTGACAAAGTACCCAACACACGCAACTTAAGGGAGAAGTTAATTTCAGCTCATGTGTTTAGTCTATAGTTGGCCAAGGCAGAAAGGCATGGTGGAAGGGTATGGGCAGAGGGAAGCTGCTCACGTTATGGAGCCATGAAGGAGAAAGGAGGAGGGGAGTGAGGGAGGGAGAGGGAGAGGAGAAGGGAGGGAGAGGGGGAGAAAGGTAGAGGGGGGTGAGGGAGGGAGAGGGAGAGGGAGAAGAGGAAGGAGTGAGAGGAAGAGGGAGGGAGAGGAAGAAGGAGAGGAAGAGGGAGGGAGAGGGAGAGAAAGGTAGAGGGGGGAGAGATTGAGGGGGAGGGTGGGAAAGGAAGAGGGAGAAGAGGAGGAAGAGGGAGGGAGAGGGAGAGAAGGAGGGAGGGAGAGATCAGGAAGGGAGAAATACCTTCCAGGTCATACCCCCCGTGACATCTTCCCACTAACCCCCCCCCCAAAAACCCCACCTGTGAGTGCATGCTGCTCTTGGGGGGACAACTCAGAACTGAACCCTAAAAATCCCTATCCCCCAAGGTGATGGGGGTAAGAGGTCAGCTTTTGAGAAGTAATTAGGTGTAGATGAGGTTGAAATGAGCCTTCTCTCTCTTTGCACAAAGGGCGTAGGAAACCAGCAGCCATCTACAAACTAGGGCACATGTGCTCACCATAGCCCAACCCTGCTGTTCTCAAGACCTCAAAAAATGAATCAGTTGTTCTAACCCACCAGCCCCCCATCTGTGAGGTTTTTTTTTATGGCAGCCTGAGCTAAGATAATTATGTTATATTTACCTCTACTTTGAAAATTAAGCCCTGGGCAGAACACTCCTGAATTATGAACTGCTTCACAGGAAACTATACTGGCGCAACAGCTAGGCGTCACCCTTTCCAGATGCTAACTAAGCCTAGCTTCACTCTTCCTGACGCTCCCTGTCCAGTCTCTGTCCAGCCTGAGCAGTATGGCCTGTGCCTCTGGCTTTGTTCACGCGTGGAGCAGTGCGGAATGCACATCCAGCCTGTTCCTTGGCGTAGGGCACCAGCTAGCTGGGAGATCACACCTTCCTCCATAGACCCAGCAGAGCCATAAGAAACCGTGGTGGCCCCAAGCCTAGGGCTTCCTCTCTGAGCCTTCCTACCACTGCCCTCTGGGACCGTGAGTTGTAGTAGGTGAAACAACGTGGCTCCTGAGCCCTTCTGCCTGGCCACTTTCTGCGAGGAGCCCTTGAATCCATGACATGCCTCTCACCCCTGGCAGCCCCTGCTGGGGTTGACAGTTTCCATCACATCTAGGGCTGAGCACTCTGTGCTGTCCACCTCCCCACCCCTATCTCACAGGCCCCTAAAGACTGCAAGAACATTTCCTCTCTCCAGCCTCCCCCTTGAGACACTCCCAGGGCTCCCTGTCATCCTCCACCTCTTACCTTCAGGGGGCCTCAGGCACCTGAGAAGGTCATTCAGAGAAAAGATGAAAGCTTTTCTCTGCAGCCCAAAGCCTTCTGCAAATATTTGCAATTCCAAAGTGTGATTCCCCTGTCCTGCTGTTACTAATTAACATCCTGCTCTGAAATAGTGGAGATTCCCGAAAACCAAAGACCTGGGAGGGCGGCTTCCCACATTCCCCTGCTCCTGCTACAGCCCCCAACGGGACAAGGCTTCCCTGTGGGCTTCCGCTTTCCCCTGGGCTTCTTCTGGGATTGGGAGGTTTCTCCTGAACAGTTCTGCATGCTGAACGTGGAGAGGGGGAAAGCAATATTGGACATCTCTGCTGCTTCTTAGCCCCTGACCAGTGCCCAGCTCCAACTGGGATGTGGGGTGGGCACAAGGATGTCCAAGGCCCACTCTTGGGTGGAAAATGTTCAGCTCACTACTTCCAGCAGAGCTCAGCTCAAGGCAAATGTTGAGACTAAACTCGCAAGTACTCGATGTCAAGGCTGATCGGGAGCCTTCAAGATCCAACTTCTCATACCTATCAGACGCTCTTTGTTATAATGCATATTTTTATATGGCCTCTACCAGCAAATGAAAAAGATGATGACAATGCTCTATAACATGAAGGCAAAATAAAAAAAAATAGACAATACTATGACAATCTAGTGGTCTATGACTATAGACAATATGGCGATGCTCTGGCCAACTCTTCCAGCTGCTGTGATGCCAGGACTGGGCTGGGGCTCGGTGTGGAGGAAGCCGATCTGTTAAGAGGCAAGGCCGTGGGAAAGAGCTTTATTAATCTATGAGCTAGCTGATCAGACAATGGCTGAAGGACTGTCTTGCTAAAGGACTAGCTCGCCAGGAAACTGCCTTAGGAGTGGTTTAATATAGAACGTTAGTGATCATAGACTGGTGGGCACCCTTGCCCAGGCAATGATTAGTTCATCCTTGTGCCATTCCTGATGTCAGGCTGCGTGAGTGGTGGAGGAACATCCCAGAGAAGAAAACGGGGGTAGGCCAAGGCAAATGCAGAGTCAGTCACGCTGCAGGTAAGCCTGGTGTCGATGCCCCTGCAGGAGTGTCTCTGTGTGCTAGCACTTCCTTTCCACTGGCCATTTAATCTCACAACTAATGTTTGCCAGTAACGTGGTTTTCTGAAATGATGGGTTAAGCTTGATCAAACTCCAAATAAAGCGAAGCATGTGTGTTGGGAGTTGTGTCTACACGTGTCACCAAAGCCTCTTGTGGTTATAGTGGGGCATTTTGGAGATGACTGGATCTAGGGTGTGTGATACTGGGGTTAAGTATGTGATGCTGGGATTGAGAAAGGCCCACCCTGGGTGGATGGGAAACCACACAAAAGATAGGTACCCTAGAAGGAGTAAAAGGGGGAGGGTGGCTGCCGTTGCTTGCCACTTGCTGCATGCTGCTTTCTTCTTGCCCTACTTTGCCATGGACTGATTTTCCCCCTTGATGCCCCTCTTCCACACCACTCTGCTTTGGAACCAGCCAACTGTGGACTCAAACATCTGCAAAATGTGCATTACAATAAACCTTTCTTCCTTTAACTTTGGGTGTTGGGTAATTTGTCCCAGCAATGAGAAAAATAAGACAATGTGTCTTCACAGAAAATGGACTGGGCAGTAAAACAAAAACAAAACAAAACAAAAAACAAACAAACAAAAAAAAAGTTTAAAAATGAAATAAAAGGGTTTTGGGTCTATAATAGTCAAAATTCAGTTTTTGTTTTGTTTTGTATTTTAGGGAAGGGTCTACAGGGTGTTCAGCGTCTCACTACTAGATAGAACTCATAGTGATCCACCTGTTTACAGCCTCCTGAGAGCTGGGATTACAGGCATGTGCCTCAGCATGCCCTGGGGGCAGTCAGCATGGCAGGCCTGGGGATCAAACCCCTGACCCCTGTGCCTGCTTGCAGGTGCTTTAATCCACTGAGCTATTTGGCAGGCCCAAAATTCAGAGTTTTTAATTGGATTTTTCGCTCATGAGTGCGAGGTGGCGCATTTGAGTCATGCAGAACCCAGGGTGCTTTTCACACTGTGTGTGGGGTACATCACTAACCCTCAATCAGTGGATGTCAGAAATACTCTCTCAAACCATCATGAAAATCAAGAGTGCTATGATGAGTTTCCAAAGTGTTCCTTCTGGGCAGCCCCTGTCCTGCCACTGTGCAGTGGCTACAGAAGTCAAAGTGAGGATGCTGGGAAGCTTGGTGGGGCTCAGCCCTGGTCCCCCTTCCCACTCTGAGTGCTGTAGTTCCTGGGGAATATGGGATGCTTCTGTAGTCAATGAACTAGCTGCTTTGTCGAATGTCA